GAGTGGGTGAACAACCTAACCTACCAGTCAGCTGTGCGCGACAGGTCTCCCTTTGAGGAGGTCATGGTGAGATGTGGCAGAGCAGCACGTCAGAGGAGGAGTATGTACGTGTGAGCTGCCAGAGAAGTATGGTCAGTTTCTAGGTGACTTATGAGTCGACTCAAAACTCAAAAGTCACCTACGTGTGAGCTGCCAGAGAAGCATGTCATGGTACGTACGTGTGAGCTGCCAGAGAAGCATGTCATGGTACGTACGTGTGAGCTGCCAGAGAAGCATGTCATGGTACGTACGTGTGAGCTGCCAGAGAAGCATGTCATGGTACGTACGTGTGAGCTGCCAGAGAAGTATGGTCAGTTTCTCAAAGAGGTTGCACCTTCTGAGAATTCTCAAGAGCTGCTCCAAGTTTTTTGTGCTATCCACTCCACCTTCCATTATCCAGTCTGCTGTTGAGGCCCATGCCCATCCCCCATCCCCCACACCCCCATCCCCCATCCCCCCTACAAGCAGACGCAGTTCTTCCTCATAGTGACCAACCGCATCCTCTACCTGGTCTTCTCCGCCCCCCTGCGCATGCTCTACCACCTCACCTCGCTCCTCCTGCACCTCGGCTACCCCATGCGCCTCTTCTGGAACGCCAACCTCATCGCCTCCCACAACACCATCCGGGCTTACCTCGCCATCAAATCCATCTCCCTCGCGCTCTCCGCACTGCAGCTGAAGCACGGCCCGCCGGGACCGGCCAGCAAGGCGACGCCGTTTCTGACAAGGAGAGCCACGTGGCTGCGATATCAGCTGTTCCGGGTTTACCGCATGCTTCCCTTCCTCTATGAGCTGCATTTGATTCTCGACTGGTGGTGCACGAAAACCTCCCTGCCTCTCTACGACTGGCTTAAGGTATGCTGCTAGCTAGCTACGCCCAGCACTGCACTGCACAGCAACACACTGCACCGCCCTGCACTGTTCCGGGTTTACCGCATGCCGCCGTTCCTCTACGAGCTGCATCTGATTCTCGACTGGTGGTGCACGAAAACGTCCCTGCCTCTGTATGACTGGCTCAAGGTACGCTCCTAGCTAGCAACACACAGCACTGCACTGCACCGAAGGGCACCGCACTGCATTGTCCCGGCTGTACCGCATGCTGCCCTTCCTCTACGAGCTGCACTTGATTCTGGACTGGTGGTGCACGAAAACGTCCCTGCCTCTCTACGACTGGCTCAAGGTATGCTGTTGTTGAGCTGTTAGTGTTGGGCTTAAATGCACCTGTACCGCAAGCTGCCGTTCCTCTACGAGCTGCACTTGATTCTGGACTGGTGGTGCATGAAAACCTTCCTGCCTCTTTACGACTGGCTTAAGGTATGATCCTTGACTGATAGACTGTCAGTGATAGTAGTCTCAGTTTCAAGGCAGCTTCCATTCCGGCTGTGCTCTTTCTCTACAAGCTGCACCTGATTCTCGACTGGTGGTGCAGGAAAACCTCCCTACCCCTCTAGAATGAGGCACGAGCTGCCTCTGCTCATCTGTTTCCCCCTCCCCTTTCATTTCTCTCCTCGTTCCCCCAACAGCTAGAGGACATATACGCCAGTCTGTACCTCGTCACCTGCGATCGGAAGATAGCACGAGCCGGGCACAAGCAATGCTGTGTCTGTCTGCCTGGTTGTCTGTCATTTTCTCCTCCCCTCCCCATCCTCCCACCGCAACAGCTAGAGGACATATACGCCAGTCTGTACCTCGTCACCTGCGATCGCAAGATAGCGCGTGCCGGGCACAAGCCGGGGCAGCCGCAGGGGTGGGGGGTGAAGCTAATGGGAGGTGCCTTTTTCTTCCTCGCTTTAGTCACAGTCATCTGGGCGCCCATGCTGGTGAGTGTGTCTCGTTATTGTCACCACTATCGTCACGTTTCCGTTTTCTGTGGTGATATTGCTTCTCACTCATCCTGCTATAGTCACAGCCATCTGGGCGCCCATGCTGGTCATTGTTCTTATAGTCCCATGCTGTAACGGTCACACACACGGCAATTCTCTCTAGTCACAGTTACTACGGGAGTCGCTTTCTTCTTCCTCGCTATAGTCGCTTTCTTCTCTCTAGTCATGGTATAGTCACACAGCTATTATCTCTAGTTGACAGAACAATTGATGCATCGCTATAATCACAGACCATCCAGGCACGGGCACCCATGCTGATGCGTCCGGTTACTGTCCCGTGCTGTTATTGTGACGTCTGGATTACTCACACTCTGTCTGTACCCTAATCTGGCGACAGACCTGCTCCGGCTCCTTCCCCATCTTTGAGGGCGGGCAGGAGTGCCTACTGCTAGACCTTCTGCTCAACCCGGGGCGAACTCTAACACTCCCTCCTTTCCCTGCCTTTTTCTCCTCCTCTTTCCATTCAAGATTTTCCTCTCTTCTCTCTCCTCCGCACTTCCCCACACCACCCCCTTTCACTGTCTCGCTCAGATTTACAGCAGCGGCAACCCCGCCAACTACCCCAACCTTGTCACAGACGTGCGAGTCAACCTGGTGCTGCAGACCTGCTCCGGCTCCTTCCCCATCTTTGAGGGCGGGCAGGAGCGTCTGCTGCTAGACCCTCTGCTCAATCCGGGACCGGCAACCCCTTTTCAGCTCACGCGTGTGGATTCGCAGCAGCTGGAGAGGCCTTTCCTGGAAGGATCCTTCTCGGGTGTTGCAGAGGAAGGTTCTTTTGCTCGTCGTGAAGAGGAAGGTTTGGAGGATGCTGAGGAAGCTTTGCAGGAAGGTGCTAGGCGTGCAGTGGAAGGTTCCTGGAACCAGGGCTCCTACAGGGATGAAAGTCACCGCACGCTCATTGAAACTGAATCCTCTGGCAGCAGAACGACTTATAGTGGTAGCGGATCTTCTTATACCGAGTTGGTCCCACGACATGAGCCTGCGCCTGTACCCTTTACAAGCATGCCAGACGCATCACACCACAGCAACCACCACGGTTCAGCTGCTGACAGTAGTTTTACTGTACAGTTACCAGCAGCCACACAGTCTCCTCCTCTCCCCCCCTCCTCTCCTCCCCTCCCTGCCTCCTCTCCTCCCCTCTCCCCACCCTCTCCTCCCCTCCCCCCTCCCTCTCCCCCACCCCCACCGCGAATCCCCTCATGGAACGTATCAGATGATCCCATCTTAAATTCCACGGGGTATTTACCCGTTGATATGCGCCTCGTGTGCGTTTACCCCGACTCCCTCTCCCTCTTTCAGCTGACACCCCCTGCTGAGAGCCGGCTAAGAGAAGCACTTAGGAGATCCGCCACAAAAGGAGGAGGGGGCGGCAGAAGCAGAGGAAGGATAAGTGGAAAGTATGGACTGAGAAGAGGGAGAATAAGAGACTTGTCAGGACAATCACACCTAAGAGTTTCCTTCCCATATCACCCAATTCAACCCTCACTCCGCTCCTTCCAACCAGCCTCCTCCCGTCACTCCCTCCAAGCCTCTTCCCAAACCTCCTCCCAAGCCTTCTCCCGAGCCACTTCCCGAGCCTCACTCTCCAGTCCGCCAGACCCGTGTGCGCCGAGCCTGATCGTCCAGTGGTGGTTCACGCGCCCCCGCCCATCCGAAGGGAGGTGGCGGCATGGGAGGAGGTCTATTCCGGCCTGCCCCCTGCACTGCTTGCTGATGGGCTATTGGGAATTCTGGAGGGGAGGAAAGCACCTGCTGGGGATGGTGGGAACGGTGAAGATGGTGGTAGTGGAGGAGCTATGGGGTTGTTGCTACCGGAGCTCTATCCGGTCTACTGGAAGCTTCCTGGATTCGGCCGGGCGAGAGAGCTGGAAGCTTCTCAGGTAAGGCTGAATTCAAAGTCTGGGCAAAGCAGGCAGAGTGGGGTGGGAGAAGGAAAGAAGCGAGGGGCAAGGGAGGTTGGGGCAAGAGAGGTTGGGGCAAGAGAGAGGTGAAAAAAAAAAAGGAGAGGGGGGGGGGGGGGGGTGAAGACACCGTGTGTGTGCGTGCGTGCGTGCGTGCGTGCGTGCGTGCATGCGTGTGTGTGTGTGTGTGCATGTATCCATGCACGTGCGGCTGCGTATGTGTGCACGCATTTATGCATTCCTTGCTGCACCCATCCCCTTTCAAAACCAGACGTTTGGTAAAGGCAGATATGTACCTCTCTCTCTTACCTGGAAGCTTGATTCGGTAATTTTTTGGCAGTCTTGCTTCAATCTCAAATAAGCTTGCTGCCAGCGAAACTGTTCTCAGCAATGGTTGCCTGCTGCCTGCTGCTTGCTCCCTCCAGCTGCTGAAGGTTGACTTGTTTTAACACATCAAATTACTGTGTTTCCATCCTCTTCCCCAAACCAGGTTCGATCCGCCTGTTGCCTACAACTGGAAGATGACTCGACCAGCAGCAGCGTCAGCAGCAGCACTGGTGGCAGCAACAGCAGCAGTGGCAACAGCCGTTGGTGGTGCTGCACTGTGCTCCTCTCCCTCCTCATCCCCCTCCCCATCCCCCTACCCTGTGCCCTAAACCAGGTTCGTTCTGCCTGTTGCTTACAACTGCAAGACGACTCCTCTCTCAGCAGTGGCAGTGGTGGGAGTGGTGGAAGTCGCTGGTGGGTGCTGCGTTGTGCTCCTCTCCCTGCTGACTCCTCCGGTACTCTTGGTGTGTGTTCCTATAACACAACGCAAAACGCCACCTTTTCCAGTGGCGGCAACGGCTGGGGCAGCAGCAGCAGCAGCAGCGGATGGTTCAGTGGTGGTTTGGCCAGCAGAAGGGAGGGAGCAGGGGTGGAGATACGAGGAGAAGGAAAGGGTGGGAGTGCTGCAGAGAGGGGGAGAAGACTGGCAGATAATGAGGGTGTGAGGGCACTGGAGGCGTGTGGAGAAGCGTCAGGACCTGCTGCTATCACGGTGTCAGAGGAAGTGCCTGGTAGGTTGTTCCATTAGGTTTGATTGAGGCTTCTCGAGGGTGTGTGTGAGGGCACTGGAGGCATGTGGAGAGGCATCAAAGTGCTACATTGTAACACAGTGGCTGAAGAAGTGCCTGGTATGCTCGAATTGATTCGAGACTCGAGGGTGTGCGTGGACAGTGAGGGTGTGCGGGGGCACTGGAGGCATGTGGAGAGGTGTCAGGGCCTGCTGCTATCACGGTGTCTGAAGAAGTGCCTGGTATGTTTGACTCACTTGGAGGCATGTGGAGCACTGGAGGCATGTGGAGAGGTGTCAGGGCCTGCTGCTATCACGGTGTCAGAGGAAGTACCTGGTAGGTGATCGGTAGGTGTTTAACAAGGTATGGGCGGACAGTGGGGGTGTGTCACACTGGTGGCTGTTGTGCCTGGTGGCTGCTGTTGTGACGTGGCACTTTTGAGGCGCCTCAAAGCCACACATACCCTGAGGAGCACACCTGCTCATAGCCTTTCAGACATCTCAAGACATGCGTGCCATTCTCTTTTCTTCTGTAAAAAAAAAACAGACACCTCCACCCCAAACCACAGCTGGAGTGCTAGGGGAAGCGATGCAGACGTTCAACATCAGGGGGCTGTATGTCACGTTCATAATGGCACTCCCCATTCTCCCCCCCATTCCCTAATCCCCATTCCCCTCTCCCCAAAACACAGCCGGTGTGCTAGGGGAGGCGATGCAAACCTTCAGCATCACAGGCCTCTACATCACGTTCGTGCTCGCACTGGGGCGACTCATTCTTCGTTCACCATTCTCCGTTCCCCATTCCCCTCTCCCTAAAATGCAGCCGGAGTGCTAGGGGAGGCGATGCAGACGTTCAGCATTACAGGCCTCTACGTCACGTTCGTGCTCGCTCTGGGGCGACTCATTCGCTCACAAAGCTCCGACCTTCGCCTCAAGATTCCCTACGAAAACCTTCCCTCCTGCGAAAGGCAAGTTTCCTTCTTTCACGACCTAATCCGCTCTCAGGCTCAGACCTTCGCCTCAAGATTCCCTACGAAAACCTTCCCTCCTGCGAAAGGCAAGTCCTTTTCTCACCTTTTGAATAGGCCTTTCAGAAAGCTCAAGCGCCTAAGGCACCTCTGAATCCTCAGAATCGATGCTGTAAATGTTGCCTCAAGGTACCCCACGAAAACATTTCCTCCTGCAAAGCGCAAGTCCTTTAGGCACCTTTGAAGTAGGCACTAGAACCGTTGAGGAACTGGTTGCGCGGCAATAGGACAAGCCACATCTTTGGCTGACCGTTTCTCCTTCCCGATAAGCCTTTCTTCCCTTTTCTGTATCTTACCCTCTTCCGTTGCTCCAATTGGTTCTGTTTGAATGGCACACTTCCTTTCCCTATCCCCATTTGTGATGTGTTACCCTGTCTGTGCCAATGTGTGTCTATTATCCCATCAACGAACAGGCTAATGGCCATATGTGAAGATTTATATGCGGCACGAGCAGAGGGGGACCTGGAGCTAGAAGAAGGGCTTTATTGGACTCTAATAAAAATTTATCGCTCACCGCATGTGCTTCTTGAATATACCAAGGGTGACAAAGCTGATTGACTGATGCAAGTAGCAGTATGCAATGAACAAAGTGGCTACAACTATGAGCGTCCCGAAAATCCTATGTCTCACTCATTTAAGTCGCATATAAAAGCTGGAGGGCAACTTGCTCCATGGAATCGTATATTCCTTGAGTCTTTTGAGGATAATATGTTTTGCTTGTTCCTTTTTGGCAATCCCTAGATGTGTAGGTATAGTATATGGATCTGGTTTATAGAATCTGTACATTATGTAAGAGATCCAGCAATACCAGGACGAAACTGTTCGCATGTTACAGACTTCCGGTGGTATTCTGGCCGTTGGTGAAGTTTGTGAGCTGGTCGGTTTCGGTGATGAAGACTCTTAGAAGGCTGGGTGTAATTTCGAGTGTGTGTACTGTTCCAGGGGGGTTGAGGCATTGTACCAGTGAGTTTTTTGTGAAGTACTTCTCTTGTTCTCTATTTTCTAACCGAATAATGTAAGCTGAATTCAGTTTAGCTTGCTTTTTCTGTATATACTTTCTCTCTCGGGCTGCTAGATTTGCTTTTCTTCCCTGCTTTCCTCCAGTGGATGCATTCCGTTATTTACAACGTGTTGCGACCCACCCGGGTTGGGTCGGGTTGGGTCGACCCGGTCGACCAGGGTTGACCCGACCCGACCCAACCCCAAGGCGACTCGAGAAATCAAAGAATTTCCTGTTGCCTTCTATGCAAATTCGAAGTAAAGAGAAAGCAAGTGCTCCGCAGGTGGAAGGTGGGCGAGGCAATGTTTGGCGATATTACCGGGTATCTTTTTGAAAAACGAGATACAAGCGACATTTGCGCGAGAACCACAGATTTCGTAAAATCCGGTAACCTGCTCCAGCTCGGCTGGGTTGGGTTTGGTCGGCCTGGTCGACCCGACCTGGTCGACCCCGGTTGACCCGGATCGACCCAACCCGGGTTGGGTTGGGTCGGGTCGACCTGGTCGGGTAGGTCGGCAGTGCGGGCTTCCTAGAAATTCGGGATCGGGGGATGGTCGACCCGACCCGGGTGGGTCGCAACACGTCGTTAGTACAGATCCTGTGCCACACGGTCATCCCGCGTTGGTGAGGTGTGACTTCTGGTGGGGTTGTTCGGTGGTCAGCAATCCAAGTTGCTGTACAGACCGACAGCTAGACAAAACTGTTTGATACATTTCTGAGTTCCTTCAAGATTGTCGGGCTACAAATCTACAATGAAAAGTCTAAAAATTGGTTGCGGTGCTGAGATCGCGTTCCGTCTAAAACATATTCCACAAGCCTTCCATGCGTCGATATATTTTCCAGACCCCGATGAAACCCAACTTCGGATTTAATCGGAAACCCCTGAACTATCAGGTATACTTGCGATTCCTCGAAGGAAGTCACCCAACCGAACAAACAGCAATAAGTATCGCTTAAAAATCACAAGACGACAAAAGATGTGACTTCCAATTGACCTGACGAATCTTGAGAACCACCATCACCACCCACCACCACCACACCCTCACAACCACCATAGTTCAGATACCCAGAGTTCCTGCCAGTTCTGGGTTTTGCAAGTCAGCTATTTTCGCGCTCCAACAGGTACTACTTCTACTAGTAGTACTACTAATTAGTATATCTGCAAACTGCCGCTCATCGCGGAAATGTCTCATACACCTCTCCGCGGCACAGCGAGTGCCGCCGCTGACCAGAGGCCGGAAATCGTGAAGTCCGAAGCATCACCTGCGAGTTCGGGTTTGGTTGCTGGGGTGTGCGAGAAAACGTCAATGAAATGCATCAAGATACGACCGCTCCGGGACGTCCTTCGAGACGCATGTAGAGTCGCCGCTGGTGCTACTACTAGCAGCACGAGTACCAGCTCAGCCACGCAAAAACGGCTGCCGCCGCCCAGACGACTCGCCCAGGCTGGAAGAAATGTACCTTCGCCGCCGCATCGCGTATCCGCCGTTATTAAACAGCCGGCGCACGGCGGCGGAGGCGCGAAATGGCGGCGGCAACCGGCGGAGGGAAAGGGCAACTTGTACGATCCAGGACATTCCGGAAATGTGCGGAGACTGGGATCAGCGGCGGCGGCTGAAGGGCAATCCGGCGGCATAATCGTTGCGGCATCTCCGAAGCTTCAACTTAAAGCGGGCGACAATGATTCCGATTTGAAGCTTATGCAAGACTCGGATGCATCATCTTCGGACGATGACCTGATTAACCTGGTTGACTCGGACGAGATCTCGTTGCAAGGCAGTGATTATCCTATTATGAGGCATCAGCCCGCGCGTCTACGACGCCAACGGAAGGGCAATCTGAAGGCCTTACTACAAGCAGCCAAACCGTCGCCTGTGAAACACCAGGTAAAGACTTTGAGCTGATTCTTTTCTAGGCCCGGGATCATGGGTTTCTCTTTCCACAGCTTTGTTCTTTTGCCACAGCTGATTCTTTTCTAGGCCCGGGATCATGTGCTTCTGCTCCTAACGCACCACAGTAGTATTATTATTGTTTCTACTTTCCCGTGGAAATTACTATTATTCTTTGCCTTCCTCCTTTCTTTTATCCCTCGCCCCTTTCCTTTGTCCGCTTTGCTTCCTCGCCCCCCATTCTGTTCACCCTTCTCCCCTATCACTTCCTAGATAAAAATCGTGATATAGTAGATTAGGTTTTTGAATGCGTGTCCTGATTCCAGCATGAACCAGCTAGATGATTATCTACTGGGAGTTCACACCTGCTCCCCTTTTTCCTGTCTGAAGGATCATACTATCCTTCATCTGTTCCTTTCAACACCGCTCGTTCGTCCGCTCGTTCGTGCTGGTGATCTCTCCTGCTCTTTGTTCCTACCTCCTGGTCCTTCTGTACCTTCACCTGGTAGCTAAAGCGGTGAGAGATGTTGAGACGCATTAACAACCTGCCAATTCCATCCTGCCACTTTTTTTCCTGTCCGCTGTACAGTTTTCAGCATGGCACGTAAAGCAGAGAGCATTATTGAGTCTACTCACTAACCTGATTTGTTTTTTCGTGACAATTTTGACCTCTGTCCCCTGTGCCTTACCTGGCAGGTGGAGCAGAAATGACTTTTGTCGTCAGCTCAGATACCTGATTTTTTTTTTCCTCCAAATCTCTGTCCTTGAACCGATTCTTGGCAGGCGGAGCAGAGAGTGTTTTGGTCGGCTCAAGAAACTGTTTTTTCTTTCCTGCCATCTTGAATCCTGTCCCCTGTGCCTGGCTGCCAGTTGAAGCTGAGTATTTCGAGCCACCTTTTTTTTTTTTTTCCTTATGTCCTGATTTCTGTCCCTAGTGCCATTACCTCACGGGTGAAACAGCGTAGTTTTGAGTCAGCTAACAAAACCGTTTCTCTTTTGTAAAATACTGGTTTCTGTTCCCTGTGCCGTTACCTGGCAGTTGAAGCGGAAAGAGAGGCAGGACGAAGCTCAGACACGGCTGCAAGGAGTCACCAAGGCAGAAAAGCAACAAGTCAGCAAAGATTGGGTCAATGAATGGAGCAACCACGATGGCATGCGCGCTCGGGCACGGAATTTGGCAGGAAGAAGGTGCAGACTTTTTTGAAGGGTGCATACAGCAACAAAAGGCAGAGGATAGACCAGGCTAGGTGTGGAAAGGAGGAGGAAGAGGGGGGGGAAGAGGAGAAGGAGTGCAAGTCACAGCAGCAACACATCATAGCAGATTTGAAGGGCGAGGAAGTTCAGAGGCTGGAAAGCAGCGAGGAGTCTCTTTCGGAGCGCGAGAGGAGGAGAGATGCAGAGTTGGGCGAGCCTGAAGTGTGTTCCGGCTACCAAATGGACTTAGCACCATTTGGTGGCGTGCCAAGACCCTCTGTAAACAGCTTGGACAGTGGAACGAAGGTCAGCGGCGGGTCATTAGAGGATGTTGGGACGAGCAGTGGCAGTGGAAATGGCGTTGGAAGTGGCAGTGGTGGTGGCAGTGGTGGCGGCAGTGGCAGTGGCAGTGCTGGTGGTGGTGGCAGTGGCATTGGCGGTAGTGGTAGTGATAGTGGTGGTGGCGATGTTGGTGGAAGCTGCACTAAGCTCATCCACAGCTTTCCAAGGGCTGCTCCAAAGGAATTTCATGCAGCATTGGTTGCGGATCAAACACTACTAAACACTGACAAAGGGGCTGTTGGGAAGTCAGAAGAAGCAGATGTAGCAATGAAGGATGTCAGTAATGAAGGAGGAGATGGGCCACGAGAGAGGGAAGGGACTGGAGCAGAGGGGAGTGGAAGGGCAGGAGAGAGGGAAGCGGATGAAACAGGGAGGACTGAAGGGGATTCGGCAAAAGAGGCGGAGATGGGCGGTGCAGGAATGCAAGTAGGGACTGAGGAAAGGGTAGGGAACAAAAATGGACCTGGAAATAAGGAAGTGGCTGATGCAAGGGGGAGTGAAGGAGATGGAGTTGGAGAGAAGGGAGCCACAGCATGTGGTGGCTCAAACACAAGCACTGCTGGAAATGGGAGGGGGGGGTGTGAGAAGGCTGCAGGTGCTACCAGCGCTTTCAATCAAAATGCAGATCAGGCAAAAGTGGATGCAGGCAAGATGGCTGTTGAGGTGGCAGGAGAGGATGTTATTGGTGGGAGCAACACTCATGGTGATCACTGCTTTTCTACTACTAGGGAACTGGGTGCGGGTCGTACTGGAAACGGGATGAAGCCGACAGGGACATTGAATGCGCAAGTGGGGAGAGAGCGCGCAGTTGTGCTATTCTTTGACCTTAACTGCATGCCTCCTGGGAGTTGTGGTGATGGAGTCACTGAGGGTGATGGGTATAGTGGTGGCAATGGTGGATATGGTGGTGATGGCAGTACCGGTAGTGATGATGATGGTGGTGGTGGTGACAATGGTGATGATGGTGGTGGTGGTGGTGGTGGTGGTGATGATGGCTGCTTTGGCTTGAATGAGCTGTTGGAAGCACAGAAACTGGTCCAGGAGCAGCCACAGCAGCAGCAGCAGCAGCAGCAGCTGCTGCTGCTGCTGCAGGAGCAGGAGGATACAGTTAATGGGGATGCCAGCGAGCTAGA